TAGTGCCGTTGAATACCCAGTTTCAGTGGAGGAAATTTAGCTGTCCGGCTCTCCCAAGTTCCCATTTAACAAACAATAAAGCTAGGGACACCGAAAAACCTGCACCGAAATTATGTACCGGCCTACGTGTATCAGCCGCGTAAATTTTTTTTAATTTTTTTCTAGTGAACGGTCATCCAAATTTACATGGACGCCCATCCATATTATATGGACGGGGGTCCATATACCAAGGACGGGCGTCCCCATTTAAAGGACGCCCGTCCATAAATAAAATATAATAAAAAAATTTACAAAACATTAAGGACGGCCGTCCATCCATTATGGACGGCCGTCCATTACTTTTGGACGGGCGTCCACAAATAATGGACGCCCGTCCTTGACCCAAATATGGAAAAAAAAAAAAAAACAAAAAACTTTGGCGATGGCCGTCCATAAATTATGGACGCCCGTCCCTTACGTTGGACGCCCGTCCCTTACATTTGGACGGGCGTCCATACTTGCTATTCAACCATTTTCTAAGATACCACTCCAAATCTTCTTGACTCATCTTCTCCAGCTGTCGCTCCAACTCTTCTGCACTCATCTGCTTCTTACTTCTAAAAGATTCTTCATCCTCCCTTTCAAGCATGATGTGGAAAGATTTTAGAATCCTTCGAAGAATATCTTCAGTTTTGTAATCTGGAGAGACTGAAACCCAAGCTCGATCTTGAAACTTATTTTTAGCTGTGATCTGTAGTGACATGACCCCGAGGACGAATATATGATTTTGTAATCTGTAGTAGATGACCATGTTGTTCCTAAACCACCATACCAAAAATAAATCACACCTCTCCGCGGCCCCCACCAAGAAGTTTAGCCAAAAATTTCTCAACATCATCTCACAGCCACAACTGGTTACTACTACAAAGGAGGTGGCTCTTCTCAGTTCGTTCAATCTGTAAAAAGCATGATCCTTTCTTTCATCCTTGTACCAATATCCTCAAGGCAGTACTGTTTGCTTTGCCGAGAAATATCACGAAGTTTTTGTCTGATATCTTCGATCTTCTTGCCTATGTTGCGTAGATGGGAATGAAGACGAAGAAAAAGAGAGGAGATGGGAATGAAGACGAAGAAGAATGGGTTTTTGTTTAGAATTTTTTTTTTTTATTAAACGTATGGACGGCCGTCCATTCTTAATGGACGCCCGTCCAAACATAAGGGACTTTGGACAGCCGTCCCTAAAGTTTTTGTTTTTTTTTTTTTTTTCATATTTGGATCAAGGACGGGCGTCCATTATTGGTGGACGCCCATCCAAAAGTAATTGACGGCCGTCCATAATGGATGGACGGCCGTCCCTAATGTTTTGTAAATTTTTTTATTATATTTTATTTATGGACGGGCGTCCTTTAAATAGGGACGCCCGTCCCTGGTATATGAACCCCCGTCCATATAATATGGACGGGCGTCCATATAAGTGAACGGCCGTCCAAATTTTTTGGACAACCGTTCACTAGAAAAAAATTAAAAAAAAATTCACGCGGCTGGTACACGTAGGCCGGTACACAATTTCGATGCAGGTTTTTCGGTGTCCCTAGCTTTATTGTTTAACAAAATGGCTATGAAAATCTTTTTGACTTTTTTTTGGGTTAAAAAATATGACATAGCATACTTAAGTGTAATTAAAGCAGCAAAAAGGATTAGGGTGAAAAGATTTAAACATTTGTGGGTTAGAGGATAATAAAGAGAAGTTGATTTAAAATTTGAAAGGCAGAATACATTTCTCTCAGGTTCTTTCTCTCTCTCGTTTTTTCTTGCAATTTCTCAATTTCTTTGATCTTTGCATTTTTTTCATTCCTTGCCATTCCCGATTAAGTTATAATGGCTGAGTCCTTAAAGAAAAAAAAAAAAAAACCATATACTCCCCAAATTGTAGGCACAATTGGGTCTACCAAAAATGGAGAAGAAGAAGTTGTGGTGGAGTAACTTCCGATGACTGAAGTTGCTCCACTAGGAGAGGAGACGGCGTCGACAGAAGACATTCTATTGGCGAAACAAGGGTGGGCAAGAGTTGAAATTGAAACTGAAGAGGAGGATGCTGACGCAAATTCCAAGCGTCGGACATGATCGCTTAAGCGATCGACTAAGATTTAAAGCAAAGGATCGCTTAAGCGATCTGGTATATGACAGAAGATCGTTTAAAAGTAAAGGATCGCTTAAGCAATCTGGTATATGACAGAAGATCGCTTAAGCGATCTGGTATAAGCGATTTTAGATCGCTTAAGCGATCATGCATCTGGGCAGAAGTTGATTTTGCCTCGAACACGATCGCTTAAGCGATTATAAATTGCTTAAAGCAACCAACGTTAAAAGCAAAGGATCGCTTAAGCGATCATGTGTCTGGGCACTTATTTATTGTCTTGTTCATGATCGCTTAAGCGATCAACAATAAAAGCGAAGAATCGCTTAAGCGATACTTAAGTGATCCTGCATCTGGGCACTTATTTATTGTTTTGTTCATGATCGCTTAAGCAACCAATAGTAAAAGCGAAGAATCGCTTAAGCGATTGTGCATCTAGGTAGAAGTTTATTCTGCCTCGGACATGATCGCTTAAGCAATTTGTAATCGCTTAAGCGACCAAGGTTAAAAGCAAAGGATCGCTTAAGCGACAGAATAAATCGCTTAAGCGATCGTGCGTCTAGGCACTTATTGATTTTGTCTTGTTCGTGATCGCTTAAGCAACCAAATGTAAAAACATAGAATCGCTTAAGCGATAACATATATACAACTAGATCTTTTAAGCGACTAAGTCTAAATACACAGGATTGCTTAAGCGAGAAATGAAATCTCTTAAGCGATCCAGTGTATTTGGATTATTTTTATTGTATTTCACTAGATTGGTTAAGCGATTAACACTATCTTAGACATATAAGGTGTACGATTCATTCAGTGGACCATGACCATTATTATATTTTAATTAAATTAGTTCTTTTACGGCTATATTAAACATTTATGGTATATAATATTTATATCTATATTAAACATATTAGGTGTACGATTCGTTTAGTGGACCAAGACCGACTGTTATTATATTTTAACTAAATTAGTTCTTTTAGGGNAAGTATGACAGAAGCTGCAATAACTGGTGAGACAGAAGAAGGAACAAGAACCACTTTGTTTGCAGGAAAGCTCTGCTCTTCAGAATATGAACCCATTGGATTGCCAGCATAAGCCACGATATCTCCAACTTCCCTGCCTTACAGTAAGCCCAGGGCCCACAGCAATTACCTCTCCAACAGCCTCCATACCTACAATAGAGGTCATTTAATAGCTTTGCAGCTGATTTATTCACGATACTGCATGAGCAAATGCCTAGCACCCTGGCTCACCAAGCAGGTATACTTAATCTAACACATAAAAAACACAGCAACCTAGATTAACTTAGAATCAAATACAGAAAGTAACTTCTCATACCAAAGGAGTTTGCTTGCTACTTGCTTGAAGAACATAAAGCCAACTGAATGTGGCAGTAGGTTAGACCAGAAAGATCACATAACAAAAATGATACTTTAAGAATTGTCATAATCTTCTAGTGATTATTAATCACGTAGCATCTTGCACTAACTTGCACATCACTTACAGTCTACAGAGAAGAAAATAACAAGGGCTATGCCATACTCAATAACTTGCACAATGCATCTAATAAGCAATTATTGTTTAAATAACTAGGAGTCATTCTTTCTTGAAAACATCTCCATTTACAAAACTTAGTTACAACTCTTGCATTCCCCATGTTAATGTTTCATTTTTAAGAATTAAACTGCAAAATTATAAATGACCCAGATTGCATACAAGGTAAATTTATAAAAATTTAATATTCAACGGTAGTATAATATAATAAAACAACCATAAATTGGAATCAATAATACAACAAATTGATCAGGAAATAAGGAACAGACTACAAACCTCAGGTCCGCCAAGCCAAGTTCATGAACGCTTTGACCATATTTGATATTGGAGATGCAGAGTGCTTTTACTTTAGTATATCTAAGTAAGGTGGAGAGGTGAAAGTGGAAGAATCGTGAGAAAGAAGAGGGTTGAATTTTGATTGAAACGGTGTGGAGCAGAAGCTAAATGTGATAGTTTTAAGTGACGTTTAATATTCCCATTATTAGACAAAAGTATTGACAATTTACTAGTGCTGTTGAATACCCATTTTCAGTGTACGTGGCTGGAATATAGGGACAGTGACGACCATCAGTCTCCCGGTTTGCCTGACTTTTTTTTTTTTTTTTTTTTTAAATCCTTCCTAACCTAAACATATTGAATTTGACACTATCATCTTACATGAAAAGATGTTATATACGTCTTTAATTACAAATTATATTCATAATAGAAGCTTAATAAGACAATATATTGAAATAAATGGCATTACTTTTTTTCTTTAAAAAAAAAGCCGTTTGTGTAATATTATACTAGAAATTATTAATTATATGATAAAAAATTGTTATTTTTTGGAATAATTAAATATTTGTCAACAAAATATTATAAAAGCCCTTAAAAATATAATAAACTTGTAAAAATATTAAAAACCTTTATATATGGTGTTTTTCATTCTTCATAAAAATTGTTAGATCAATTGTATGATAAGGTAAATGAAATTAACCCATACACAAAAGAAGAGTCATATTAATTTTACCCATTGTATATATATATATAGAGTCGTTATTCCATTCCTAAACTAATTATTAAAACTGAATTAAGGGAATATGAGTACATAAACTAATGCAAATGGCAAAAACATGCTATTCAAACCTTCACGTCTACCTCTGATATGGATCTTCAAACTCTCTTTCGAGGAAATACGACTTGCATCTAATATGGCAAACTGGGTTCAAAAACAAAATTCCACAAAAGGAGGGCATGCAATTAAGAGCTAATTATATCTTCAAAATTTGATCATATATAAACGTCCCAAACTTAATTTGATATACGATCACTTGAATGATCTATGTATATACATTCACAGATTTCCCCTCAAAGCTTTCTTTGGTAATTTGGGTGCTGGTTTGTCCATATCCCCCAATTCCACAGGTAAAATGCTCGTTTGAGTACCGTCTACACTATCTGTATCGATGTCTCCTTCGATCGTCAATCCTTCAATTCTTGCTGCCACTGCATCTGCTTTATTTACTCCCACATTTACAACTGCAAATATATTTAAAACTAATTCACTCAAATCAATTTAATTTTTATTAATTAGTGGATGTATGATGAATGGTAAGCCTTACTTGGATTAGATAAGAACCATAGAACTAAAGCACAAAGAAGTAGAACAAATGGAATGGCATGTACAGCATTCTCAGCAAACTTGATACGTGACTTCTCCTTCTTAGCCATCTCCTCAACGGGATCATACGCAGCCTGCTCATCCACTTCCATCGGCGACGACGCCGTTCTCATTCCCGGAACCGGCTTTGGTGATGTGTGCATGAAGTAGTCATTGGCAACTCGGGTAAAGCTTACCGATCTATACATATTCCTTTGATGCGAAGGAAAAAAAAAAAAAAAATTCAACGAAGATCGATCGAGAAAGAAAAATGATTTGAAGTGAAATTATGAAATAATTTAATTTGCAAAAGTTTATGATGTTATGGTGTAAGAAGAGAGCAAAAGTTTGGAGAGAATTCAAGGAAAGCGGCTTGGATAATGGGTAAATCTGTTGGTTTTGACTGTCGCATGTGTTAAATGGTTCTTTTAACTCCCGAAATTAAGGCCTGGTTTTTGGCTTCTTACAGTTATCACTCGACTTTGTCTTATATATTTAGTTAGGACATTATTTTATCATTTGATCTCTAGAATTTTCCTTTTTAGAGATAGACCACTTGATTTTTAATTAAAAAAATATCGGTTTTATCTTATTTTTGTTTTTAATATTTAAAATTAAAAAAAAAAGGTTTATTGTTTAAGCACATATGTCATCACGATTTTGTAAATTTATATAGAGTAATTAAGAAGAGAAGATAAAGCTTAAATGTAAGGAAAAATAAAGTTTCTTTAAATCATAAAAATAAAAAGATCTAGAATTAACACAAAAAATACAAAATATAATCTTTGAAACGTCACATATGTATGTTATTTCAAGGTGAAGAATGAAATTGATACCTATCCTATCTAAAAAAGTATCACGTCATTTTGATATTGTTCAGATTCATGCATTTTAGACATAGAAATGGTGTAACATGGATGAACAAGATGATGGATGCAAGGTAGAACACAAACATAACACATAAGCTCAAAAAATTTCAAGGTAAGGATAGAATATTACCTACTCATTTGCTATTCAACACTTGAATATTCTTTCTTGAAATCTTAGTTCTTTAAATGAATTTGAAGAACCTCAAAATGTGATCTACACAAGTCAAGGAAGAGAGAGCTGAGAGAGTGAGAGAGAAAATGAGAGAGTGATTTTGCTTTTAATTGATTCAACTGAATTAAAATGGTATAAAACTTAATTTATATACCGTGGGTACAAAGTGTAATTTTAAATTGTTTTGAGAAGGCTTCAAACAATTTAAATTAACTTGAGAATAAACATTTATCTCAAGTCCTTGGTTTTATGGTTAATTCATAATTAGACCAAATTTTAAATCCATTAAATATTCTAACCCTTTAGAATAAAACCAATGCACTTTTGCCCCCATCATTGAATCCAATTCAATAATAATATTTAATAAATCTTTATTACCCTTGGTTAGTGCTAGCTATACATGGATAATCATTTCTCACCAATACATTAATTCAGATGCAACCGTTTATGTCCGAACATCATTAATCTGATTAATGATATGTATTACTCTCTCTCCTTGAGCTTGGTTTTATGTGTGACCATTTTGGTTCACTGTGATCTAGCCGTGGGCCCAATATCTGATTTTGATATGTTTCGTTATAATTCTTTATAATCGAAACTCCCACTGATTATAGTAGACATCTAGCAATGTTCCATAACCCCTAAACCACAATGAAGTGTAAACTCCAATGAACCTATTCTGATCGTACGTACCGTGTAGTCAAATCCCTCCATTATCTAATCCCGATTAAGAATTGTTCATGGAATTTCAAAACCTTTAACTTAATCTTTAATCGAATTGTCAATCGATACAATGAAACTCGTCAACATGAAACTACTTTTCATTTAACATTCATTATACTCTGGCCAGAGATTTTCCTTTTCCAATGTTTATTGACATTCGTATGGGAACTCAAGATTGGATTATTTTGAGTTAACGGATCTCATCTTGACCATCACTTGTCCTCGCACATGAATAACATATGACTAAACCGTCTTATTATACAAGACATGACTAGTCTCGTGCTTATACACCATATGAACCATATGCATCCTATGTTGAATCCAACCATAATGTCTCAGGTCTAAGAATCTGTGGTACACCATCACAATCCTACGATGCATCATTGACCATATCCACGTGATTCATCGTAATCGGTCGTATTCGATAAACAGTTCACTAACCGTTTAGCCATACTAATGCCGTAGTGACATACCTCTTATAATCACTCACACTAATACCATCACATGATATTCAATGGAGACATTCAGTATGCCTACTATACAATGTTATTGTCCAATTAACATTACTTGCATAGGAAATTCTTTGATGATTTGATCTTCTGAAGATCCGTATCATCCAGACATTTCACATGTAATATTAAATATAATATAATATAAATGAAGCAGAAAATCAATATGTGAAATAAGAACACTTTCTTTTATTCATAATACATTTACAAGATATAATGTCCTGAAACCGACAACACGATTGGTTCCTAGGGCATACACTAACAGATATAAAAGATTTAGAGAAAAAAAAAAAAATAACCTTCTGAGGGCGTTTAGATCATATAATATTTTATTATAAGGGTATGTTATATTAACAAAAAGAAATATCACCTTGAAGATTACTAGGAATGTTTAGAAAATGTGTTTGATTAGTTCGAATAAATTAGTGAATAATATGTTCGGTTGGAAGGATAAATGAGTGGGTATGTTATATAGATTACTAAATTGCCCTCATTTTAAATATTAATATAATAGTATTTTTTATTATTATTTTTTGAATCATTTTTTTTAACTCCCTACATTTGAAATTTTTCTAAAACACCCCAGCCATATAAAACTTTAATTTATAAAAAAAAAAAAAAATCACCCTCACCCACCCCCAAGCCACTACCCGCAGCCAACCACCACCACCAGCCGTCGCCAACAGTTGATGGAATAGCGTACAACTGGTCGTATATGGTTGACCGTGTGTTAGCAAAGCTGAAAATGGCCATGGATCACAAATCCATGGTTGAAAAATAGCTAGATCTATGGCAATTTCATGGCCACATCTTTGGTCGTGAAACAGCCATAGAAACGCCAGATCTGGCCGTTTTCGGCCATGGATCACCAGAAAAGGCCTTATCAGGGCACGACCGGCTAGATCCTGTCGGTCGTGCACCATTACAGTGACTGATGCCAGCAGCCGGCGGTGGTGAGTCATGGCCAGCTGTGGTCTTGGATGGCTAGGGTATTTTGTTAACTTTTTTGTGGTTTTGGTGTTTTAGCTAATTTTTCAAATGTAGAGGGCTGGGTAATTCTTATTTGGTAGACATTTGAGGGCAATTGTGTCTGAAATGATTTTTAATCAAGGGCAAATGAGTAGAAAAACCATATTACCTCAGTAATATTTTAATAATACCTCCTAACAAGGTAATAAGATTACCCCCAACATTACCAATAGTAAACATTATTTGCAATAAAAAATTATTATAATATTTTATTACTTACCAAGACTGTCCCGTTATCTTATATACCCCTGATCCAAAGAACCCCTCTATAATAATATTAAAACTATTGCGTATGTTTTTGTGTGTGTGTGGTAATATATATATATATTATAATATTTATATATCTATATATATATATATACTATATATATATATATTATATATATATATATATATATATATATATATATATATATATATATATATATATATATATATATATATATATATATAATTTGCTTGGCTGAGAACTAGGCCTGCAATCGAACGAACATGAACGAACGGGCCCGTTCGAAATCGTTCGATTAGCATGTTCGATGTTCGTGTTCGTGTTCGTGTTCGTGTTCGAACGAACACAAGATCTGTGTTCGTGTTCGTTCGTTAACAAAAAGCGTCGTTGTTCGTTAGCAACTCGTTCGTGTTCGTTCGACTAACCTGTTCGACTAACTCGTTCGACTAACTTGTTTCACGACTAACTCGTTCGATATTTGAAATACTTGTTGACTAACTCGTTCGATAATTCGTTCGATAATTTGTAAATACCTGTTTGACTAACTCGTTCGATAATTTGTAAATACCTAAATATTTTAAATGTTTACATATATATTTTGTATCAACACCCATAAATTTATAGTGGAATGAAAGTCTATTGTAATATATGATCAATACTTATGTGTGATAATTGTTTTTATTATATATTTTGTATCAACACCATAAATTTATAGTGAAATGATGGCATTAATATATGACAATACATAGTGTGATTAATGTGTATATATAATGTGTAATTGTGTATATACAAAATTATTATCATACATATATTAATCATAGGTTAAATATGTTATGTAATTACCAAAATTATAGGTTATATATATTTTTATCATACATAAAAATATCCTAAATTTTTTAAATGTTTACATATATATTTTGTATCAACACCCATAATTTATAGTGGAATGAAAGTCTATGTAATATATGATCAATACATACGTGTGATTAATTTGTTATACATACATACATATTATATATTGTACCAACACCCCTAATTCATAGTGACGATGGCCTATTATAATATATGATCAATAAATATGTGTGATTAATTTGTTATTATAATGTGTAATTGTGTATATACAAAATTATTAATACATATATAATCATAGGTTAAATATGTTATGAAATTACTAAAATTTTAGGTTATCATATATTTTTATCATTACATAAATTATCATAAATATTTTAAATGTTTACATATATATTTGTATCAACACCCATAAATTTAGAGTAAAATGAAAATCTATTGTAATTATGATCAATACAATGGTGATTAATATATATATATAATATATATAATATTATCATTACGTTCTACATATTTATTTTGTACCAACACCTAAATTCATAGTGATATGAGAGTTTATTGTAATAGTGATCAATACAAATGTGTGATTAATTTAGGTTTAATTAAACTAATATTAAATGGTTCTGTATACATCACTTGATTATACAATATGTTATGTTTACAATTTACCATACTATATTTATTATTTATTAATTGAAATGTTATCTTATAATATTAATTATTGATACATTTAGAAAAATATGAAGCTATTATGTTATTGGATTTACTATTATTATCACTTGATTATACAATTTATTGTATGTAAATTTGTCATGCTATGTATCATAGT